CCCCCCCCCCCCTTTCTTTTAGAGCTTGTTTGGAAAGCTACCTTGGAAATGGATTTGGGTGGAATTGGATGTAATTACACAATTTGGCATGTTTGTTTGGCCAAGTAATTACTTGGTCAGCATGGAATTGGGTGTNCAATTCTCAAGGGGGGGGGGGGGGGTGAGAATTGGTGGTAATTACACTGTTTAATTGCAAGGTTGCTTTTTAGTTTCTTTCCTTTTTGTTTTTATTTTAATTTATTTTTTATAACTTGTTATTTCTATTATTTTAATTTTTAATTTATTTTTACTTTTTAATTTCTTTTGAAATTTTAAATTATATTTTTCTTTGTACATCATTTATCTTTTATTTCTCTATATTTACTTCTTGTGATTCTATGTAATTGCTTATATTTTATTTTTTATTTATTTTATTATTCCATTTTTTTAAACTACACCTCCTAATATTAGAAATAATGAGTCATTAACAAACTTGACATATAATGAGTGATGCAATTAAAGTGAAATTTCGTTGTTGAATGTGATTATAAACTTATCATGTTTCCTAATTATTAAGTTGTACTGGAACTTACTATTATTATGTTGGAATTTGACATATGTTAAACTATTTTTTTTTTTTGAAATTGTGTTGTATTCATGGTTTCAATTTACTTGTTTTAGTGGTATTGGCTCACATTGCATGTTGTTCAGTTTTTAGTTAGAATTGATAGATTAGTTTTGTCAAACATTTGAATAATGTTATGACATAATATTTGTAAATATTAATTTATTTTATCAAATGAATTTCATGATGTTCTTACAAAACGTATATTTTATTTTTGTAAGTATCTAAATATGAATTATATTTACAATATTAGTTATAAATATATGATTACTAAATTAATGTATATTCACGAAAAAATATATCTTAAATACTAAATATAATATCATTTGTACTTATAAAAATTTATAGACATATATTTATTATATCAACTTTTAAGTTTTGATAATTACTTAATTTGAAATTTAATTTAACTATGTAATTACACTTGTGCAACCAAACAATAAACTTGTAATTACACGTTGACAATCAAACATGTCGTCGTAATTACGCAACTGTATAATTACTAGGGTGTGTATTACTACCCTAGTAATTACACCAATTCCAATTACAGAGTGACTTTCCAAACAGACTCTTAGATATTTGCGGTAAGGTGAACACGTAAATATATAGCAGGGAAGCTGCCCGGATATAGCATTGACCAGAATCATTAATCTCGAAACATGAACAATTCACCTTTAATAGACAAGAATGAATTAGATGTAACCTAATTTTCTTGCTTCTTACTCAATGTCTTTCTGGGTATAATAAAACACATATATGGCATAATTGGAACAAAGACTACAGCTTTTTGATGATATTATTACATTTAATGGTCTTAAGACGTATTATGAAACATTAAGCTGGAGGGGAGTTTAATAAAATAGAACCAAGGTCCGAGATTGTTAATGATTCTCTATTAATTCAGAAAAGTGCAAATTGAAAACCAACAAACTTGCGGTGAGAATTTGAATAAAGACAGTGGTCAATGAAATATTGCTATTTTACGTTTAAGTAGGACTATATACATCAGATTGAAGAATACAGTACGATTATTAGATGGGATTTATGATGAAAAAGAGTTTTTCTAAATCCATTTTGTGGTGCATATCAATTTTGGTCCTAAGTAGGGCTTATGATTAGAGATATTGTTTAATACTATGAATAGACTAACAATTTGCAATCACAAATTCCTAGATATTTGGATACGTAACTAAAACTTCAGCTGACTTTGAGTTTAGAGATCATTAGGTCAACTGCTCAATTCTTTTCTGCTCCATCAAGTCAAGGAAAGAACAAGAAAAAGAATCTATCACCAAATATGTATTAAAAAAAATAGGAGAAATGTTTGACTTAATTCCTCAATGTCATATCAAGAGCCTACATATGAACAATGTAATAAATTTGAGAGGAAAAAGAAAGAGAAGAAACTTTCATGCATATAAGAAATAAGAAGGGATAATTTCACATAAGTACAACTCACACACCTGACTTGCAACATAATAGCCTAGATATCACATTGCAAATCTATAGCCCAAAAATAAAAGGCTAATTCCCGAAAAAATAACTTATTTCACACAATCAACATACTATCTGAAGGTAAGAAATTCAAACACCTTTATGTGCAATTGCTGAAGCAATCCAACAGGATAAAAGAAAAATAAAAAATTGATAAATGAATTGTAGAATTCCTCCAACGCGTACAAATCCGTTTCATATAGTACATACACGAAAAAGAAGAAGAGAAGGAAGTGTCAAACTTCTGTAGAGACCTCTTACACGCTAACAATGTATATACATCCTTATAAACTGAAAAAATATATATTTATACAACATTATACACATTACACATTTATACACAATTATACAATACTGTACAACTTGTATAAACATGTATAATAGTGTATAAGAGGTGTTTGTATACCCATATACACAATTATATACTATTATACAGTGTCGATACAACCTGTACATAGTTATGATTTTCCAGAACTTCAAACTTCAAACTTCAGAATCTTCCAAAATTGCCAGAACTTCAAACTTCAAAATCCTCCAAAATTAGTGGTTGTTTGTTGGTGCAAATCAAGTTTGAGAGCTATTTATTTTCAAATCTGTGTGTATTTTTCATGGTTCTTTCAAAAATCTTCTTCGTTCTTCTGCTTGCCACCATGGACGACGGAGTCTTTCTTCGAGCCTTCTTCGAGCCATTAATGGCAGAACTGCGTAGGGGGTAAAGGAGGGGAATAGCGGGGGCTAGGTTAAGAGAGGATGAGGGATCTATGTGGGTTAGAGAGAAAGAAGTGAGAGGCGGTGAGAGAGAGAAGGGAATGAAGAAAGAAGAAAATAATAAAAACCCTAAAAGTATGTCTTCAATAGTGGGCTAAAGGCTGAAAAGTTTCTTTCAAGTTATGTACAACATGGGCTATATAGGGTAAGAGCTTTAAATGTGGGCCATTTTCGGTTGGGTTATTAGGCCAAGTGACATGGGCGGTAATTCTTTCAAATAAGAAATAGATATATCTACGTACTCTCACACAATTAGAACTCTGGGTATAGTAGTGGCCGGGGAATATGATGGCAACGTTACTAATTAAAAACAAATGATTGGAACATACTTAATTAGTATTTGTGGGAAATATCAAAATTCTCTACTTATAGAAAAAATATTAGAAAAGGTTACTCCATGAAAACTTATAGCTAGCTAGAAGAAATCCAGCATTATGAAAACTTAATAGTCTAGCTGGCCAAATTTTATCTTGTTGGTGAAGATTTAATTATTACCATATAATTAATCTCCTTCCCTATTTTTCCTTTTAAAAAAATTAAAAGAAAGTAACCCTGAGTACCTACAATAATATGTAATTCCTTATAAGTAGGGGTGTCAATGGATATTCGAAAACCGACTAAACCGACCGAACCGTACCGCACCGAACCGATTTTTCGGTTTCTTTTAAAAAACCGTAGGTTTTTATATAAACCTATAGCCGCACCGATAATTAGGATAGGTTTTTTATTTTATAAAATAAACCGAAAAATACCGGACCTTACCAAATAAATTTTACATGTGAAAAATATATTTATATAGTAAGTTTAAAAATAATAATGCATTAAATTTTTCTTTGGGCCTTGGAATTATGAAAACTGTTACAAGCCAACAAGTAATTAAACTCAAAATAGTAATTCCTAAAACTTATTATGCTACTTCTACTTAAATAAGTTATTTCAAGTATCTTAGCAACACACAAAATATTCTAGCGATTATGAGTAGCAAACTACAATATATTGAATATGTTTCCTTTCATATAATTTAGATTTATCTTTTTGAATATTTAATCTTCTATAGACTTTATTCTTGAGTCCTAGCTTGGTTAATATCATTCCACTCGTGTGATTTATAATTTCTTTACCTTTGCTTAGTTTCTTTTACGCTGTTGTAGAATAGTTGATGGATATATACTCTAGCCATCTTTCATTTTTTTAATTCATCACCCTTTAATCAATAAAAATATCTAGAGAGTTTTGTTACGTCCTATAAAAGAACATATATTATTGCATTCTACTTCAACTGGTGAATTTTACATGATATTTAAAAAAATACCGAAAATTAACCGAACCGTACCAATACCGAAGAGAAACCGACATGATTGAGACGGTTTCGAAAAGTCTAATTTTGGTTATACATAATAAAATAACCGAAAAATTGATATGGTACTAATTTTATAAAATAACCGGCCGAACCGAACCATTGACACACCTACTTATAAGTCATCACAAGTTTGATATGATAATTAAAAAAAACGTTAAATATAACATGTTAAAATATACTGATAATGCACACGACTTTTACACTGACAACTTAAAATCTAAATCCATATAAATATATTTGTAAAAAAGAGAAAATATAAAATACCCTCCCTACACCCTCAAATTAAAGAAAAGAGAAAACAAAATGAAAAAGAAAATTGAAAGACATCACTCTTGAAAGTGAAGGATGCAATGGTCCTGGTTCGCAAGTATAAACAATTTCAGCCGTAGAATTTTAACAAGACTAAAAGGTACATTTATTCGTCCCTAAAATGTGACGTGTCAGCCAATCAAACTTCACCATCATATCCTATTAATCTCACCCTTTGTTAATAAGCAACCATAGAAAATACTTTCTTTCAATAATTATTATAAAACGACCCCAGAAAACAAAAACAAAAAATAATAATACTACTAAACCAAAAAGTAGGAGTAATATATTAAAATAGAGAAATAAAATAATAGTAAGAAAATTCGATCTAAAATTCCTTTATCTTTTGTTGTCATATTTTAATATGCCCCTCTCCTTTGCTTTGTCTAATCATCTTCTCTTTTTTACAATGTCAACCAGATTCCGGTAGTTTCTCTTCCCACCCACCCCTATTCTGTTTATATATATGTGGTGTATAAATACAACTCTCACTTCATAAATTCAGTTTCATGTAAAACCAATAAAACAAGTAGTCTACTCAAGCTTTTCAAGTTGAAACAAGAACAAGAGAGCAAGAACTATACTGGACAAAAGAAGTAGTGGACATGGCTGATGAATTTCAAGCAGGAGTTTGTGGAGGAAACTGGTGGAATTCAAGTAGAAGTATTTTTGGTTCATCACTATGTGCAGCATCTTCTATAGGAAACAACTTTGCATGGCCAAATAATGACTTGTTGGATATGAAATCCTCCTGCAGGTCTAATGATGAATCTGGTAATTCTGATGATTCTGTGGTTCTTCAAGAATTACCCAAACATGACTCCACTCTACAAATGTTGGGTATTGGCCTTTCTTCATCATCAACTTCTTCAACTCCTGATTGGAATCATACCATGATGTAAGCAAACCAAATTTTCATTTTGGCCTCCTACTACTTTTATTCTTATATAATATTGGTCTTGGAATAGCGTAATTGAAACGACTCATTTCTCTCCTTTGAATTGACGATATAGCAATTTTGCTTGGATTTATCAGTCGAAGCAGGAGACAATATACCTTGATATTCTCGATCATTCTTTGATTCAAAGCATCGTTCCATCTCAATTGAAAAAGCAAATAACCTTTCAAGAATAAATCTAGTTCTGCTTCCGTGTTGCTTTTGTATTGTTTTTTTCTTTTTACCCGGATTTATATAGCCAACTTCAGGTTTATTGTTGTAACTGTAAGATTGAGAGAAAAAAAGGAGTAAAGAAGATACTTTTATCATGTGTTATTCTTTCATTTCTGTGGAAAAAAGGGTTTCTCTAAAAAAGTTCAAACAAGTCAATTTTGTTGTTTTTATTGATAAAAGTTGTAACTTTTTTTCTTTTCTTTCTGAAATTATGCAGGCATGGAAATGAGAGGGGTGATAGCAGTTATCCTTCAATACTACAAGAAGACCTAAATTCAAGCCTGAATTACAGGCAAGAAACTGGGGTTGATTGTTCTCATGAGCTGGGAAAGAATTTTTCTACTATAACTGAAGATTCTTCAAACAACTCATTTAAACATCAAGATTTTACTTTAGGCATGAATCCAATCACTAGCTCAACTCATACTGATCAATCCACTGTGATATCTTCAAGCTTTCCAATGAATTCTTCTTTTTCTAATTATCCTTCAGCTTTACTTCAGACCTTATTTGATAATGATCCTCCTCCTCCTCCTCAACAGCAACCACAACAACAATCTTTCTTTACTAATAATAACCAACCAATGAATTTCCCAGTATCCTTAAACTATAGGCCAAATTTGAATGATCACTTTTCACCTTCTTTGCCTAAATTCCCACCCTTGTTGAGGCCTTCTTTACCAAAACAAACACCTTCTAGTTTTCCTTTCACTAATCCCACATCCTTAAACAATATGCGCGGCAATCTTTTGCCATCTATGCATTCACAATTGCTGCTGCAATCACCAACATTTCACGAGAAATCCAGTGTTCCTAACAATTCTGCCAAGGTAAATACATTAAACTTTAAGTATTTTTGCACATATCAAGTACTAATAGTTAACCAATGATCATAGCATGTTATTCCATTTTTACTTGTTACGGTCAGTATATAGAACTTAAACTCGACAATATATATGAGAGTTGGACATGCTGTTGTTAGTTTTTTTTTTTAAAAAAAAAAATGATTAATTAACCATTTGCTCAAAAAACATTTCAGTCTAATGTAGAAGAATTGCGAGAGTCGAGGGCTAAGAAAAGTGGGAATAGTGAACCAGCATTCAAGAGGCCAAGAATGGAGACACCATCACCATTGCCAACTTTTAAGGTATAGGACATATCTAATCGAACTTTTGACTAAAGGAGGAAGCTTTAAGCTTTTTCTTTTTGTAATTAAAATGATTGTTTTGTCCAAAGAAATGGATGAGAATTTTTCAGCTTTTTGTTATCAGGTCAGAAAAGAGAAACTGGGGGACCGGATAACTGCTATCCAGCAATTGGTTTCACCTTTCGGAAAGGTAAATATTTGGAGTTTTCTCTTCCACTTTTAATTCATCTTCTAAATTTTTATAAGACTTTCAATCAAGTTGTTAATGACATTAATGTATTTCTTTGTTTTCTGGTCAGACTGATACAGCTTCAGTTCTCCATGAAGCTATTGAGTACATCAAGTTTCTCCATGATCAAGTCAATGTAAGTTACCTTCATTACTGATATTAACACACTATAAGGGTTTTTAGTGAATCAAGAAACTCAAACTTACTTGATTGTTTTATTTATTTCAGGTTCTTAGTACTCCATATTTGAAAACTGGATCACCCCCTCAACACCAACAGGTAAAACATCTATAAATGTGCTCCTACTTATTATATTAAGTGCGCTATATTTTTTTTTTCCACGTAGTGAGCTATGATACTTAAATAAAAAACTTATAACTTATATACATTCGCAATGTAGAAAAATATATTTATACTATCTATTTTAACATGTTATGAACAGTTACCTAATTTTTACCTATACTTATCTTTTAGGCGACTTATGTGAGAATTATTTAACAAGTTAGTGTATAGAAATTAAATGATGTAAATATAATGGTTATTATTTGCAGAGTGCTGATAAGGTTAAGGAACAAGAAGGATCAAAACAAGACTTAAGGAGCCGAGGGCTGTGCCTAGTACCAATATCAAGTACTTTCCCTGTAGCAACTGAGACTACTACAGATTTCTGGACTCCAAATTTCGGTGGTACATTCAGATAAGAGACTTATAATCAATGAGGAGAAGTGATTTATAGCTAATTTGGTAATTATATTTTGGAGAAGAATTAAGGATTAATGCACATTGGTATCTTAGGAAAAAAAGCAAGAAAAAGGAAAAGGAGAAAAGAAGTGACTATTCAAAAGACGACAGCCAATGCTGGGCCATGATCTACAGGCAGAATGATGTGTTTGTAGGCTAAGTACATGATTATTATAGAGGATAATGTAGAGCTGTAATAACAATAATAATCTAGGTTTAGGAACAGGAACAGGTGCTAAATTTAGCTGAGAGTTTTAGATTAGTTTATTTAACAAAATTGTTATGTTTGTGTTGTTGTGGGTGTTGGTTGGGCTGAATTTAGCACAGGATAGAAAACTTTTTGTTCCTGTTTCTATATTTATATATTTAAGCTTATGAGTTATTATGACTTCTCTTTCTTCTTTTTAATTATATGACTATTCTCCCTTCTTTTAATTATATGCGAAACCAAAAGATATACAATGAGAAATATACAAAGAAATGTTGAATTTAAAAGAAAAAAGGGAACAAGAGAGCGGAGTCTATTGAACTGCATAGCTTTTTTTTTTTTTTTTAAAAATATTAATTTGTTTGGAATTTGGAATGTTAGTAGTGGAAGTCAGAGGGGAGTCCCACTGATAATACTTTTAGGCTATTTTTGTAAGAATTCTTGTTCCAGCAAGTGGGTCGGCCATAAGCACTCTTATAACCATTTTAAACCATTCTTATGTGACTCAAATTGACTTGGCGGCCATATACCTATACCCCCCCCCCC